ACGTCTGAGGGCCAGGAACTATTTACAACAAGACCATCATGATGATCATCACAGATGAGGTGCCTTGCTTACGGGTCCAAGACGAGCATATAGTGTAGTCTTTATGCGCATAGCCGGACGGCCGGGATTCCTTCACCTTATGTTCATGTTGACACAAAGTTGTCGGAATGCACAAAGATTAATTTCCTCGTTTCCAGCAGTAATTTAGCGTGACATGTTGTTTATCGGGGAAAGAGACGTGCAGGCGCTAACTTTGAAGCTTGTGCATGGCGTATCAGTCTTTGTGGTAGCTTCTTTTGAGGACAAGAAATTGTTCGTGAGATCAAACACGTGTTAATTCGGTGGACACCATGCATTTCTTGTTAACAGGAACTTCGGCGCGAATTCGCTCTGCTTGGTGCTGACCGTATCGTTCTTTGTTACGAACAAGCTCATTTTATGTAAGCTGAGCAGCACGCGGCACTTGGTCTGGAAGGATGTACACAAGAACAATTGTGTCAAAAAACTAGGGATGGAGCCTTGTTTGCTTGACTAAGTTAAATACGTAAAAAAAACACTGATCGCTCACCATCTCACCAATGTAAAAATTCCTCTTTTTGTTCAGAAACGTTTGTTGAGTTCTTGTCACATGCAAAGCAAGAATGAAGGTCAACAGTCTTCTCGGCAACCTCGCACACATGGTCACCGGTCAGTCATGCTCTCTCTCGCTGATCTAAAAACAAATGATAAGCGCAGCTTCTATCAGTTTATCTGACTGCCCGATGTCGCTTACAGACCGTTTTTGATTCAATGCCGAGCTTCAGCAATTCTGATTCCCCTTTAGCGTGTCGTAAAATTAGTCTGGCTTACATTGGTGTAGTGCATTTCCTGAACCCAGGTGAGCAGGTTTACTTCAATCAGCTTTGAGTTTGCTTGATGACGTGTGCAATAAGCAATGTGGCTTTATTCGTCATTATGCTGTGTTTAGCTTTTTGAAGTGGCGTCTTGTACAACTGGCGGTTCGTTGGGTCGATAAGATGGGGTGGAGGATCAGTGGTGTGGTGTGGGAGAGATTCAGAAATTACAAGGAGATGTATTAGCAAATACAAGAAGATGTATCGGCTTTTTTTTGTAAAAAAATCATCGCAGTATACGTCAACTGTTTCACAATTACCAGGATTTATGTCTTAAGTATCTTTTTTAATCTTGTGAAGTCGCAGGTGACATTTTTATGTAGGTTTAGCTAAAAAAAATTGGGACAATTGAACTTTGGCATTTTATAAAATACAGCAGTCAAGTAATTATTTAAAACAATTATATTTTACAATAAGTTATCTTAGATGTATCAGAAGCCTCTTCTCTCTTTAAAATAGATCTAGTATAGAAGCATAGAAGACTCGAAGTAGCATTTTGGACAAGGTTTACTGTACTCTTCGTCACCTGTTTTTCGGTCACCACTATTTCATCAATCAGCCACCACTCCAATAACCATTTAGATTTATCTTTCCATAAAAAAAACAATTCAATTTATTTGTCACGCAATTAACAACATTGAAAAGCCAAAAACAGTTTTTACAAGCTACATTAAGTTGGGTGCTACTACCTGGACGCACGACTTGTGTTTGATTTAAATTAGTAGCGGCACTACATCTAGGTAACTTTGTTGTCATTCTGTAAATCACAGACCAGCTAGAAGGATAGTTTCGTTTCTTACGGACGAAGAATCAGTGGAATGCTCTTGCTTCTTATTTCGCACGGGAATATGTACCTAGTACAAATTGTACTAATTTATTGTATGATGGGCCGCTAACGAAGGTAGACAGGTGGTCCTATACATGTAACCAAGCCATCTTGCTCAGATGTGCTCATTCGTGTCAAGGAAATGCATTAAATGTTAGGGAGTTATGATGGCTATGTTGGCAAATAGTTTGGAAATTTTATGATTCGAGATTGACGCGACACGAGACAGTTATGCTAAATCACCTTACCCTGAGCAAGCACCCACTGCTACGGATGAAAGAAGCATCTCGGTGATGCCATTTATGTACCACTGATAAAAGAGGTATAAACCACATTCTACGAAACCAATATTTTGATCGCCTATCCTTTTGTGCGTTTGGAATCAACGATCTATTTTTGTAGATGCTCAGGAATTCGATTTTCGTCTTTGTCTTTATCACATTTTTAGACGCTAAAAATATGCGGTGGATATAACTTTCCATTGTAGTTAGCTATGATGGAAAGAATGGTGTATAAGTATACTGGAATAAAAGTTACATGGCCGCAAAAAAAATGAACACCGGCATGATAATACCAATGTTTTAGGATTAAATACACACTCAGCCTTAAAATTGTTTGAGTAAGTTAAGCGTGTTTTGTGAATTGCAATCATTAATAAATAGGTGGGGTCGCTAATCAACGAAAGGTTGGCTAAACACCGGTTTCCTACATTTTTTTCGTCTTATCAAAGTGTGCAACAGCATCGAATAAATCAGAGTATTAATTTGAAAAAACAATTTCTTAGTCGGCTCTTCTACATTTTATAAATTGTAATGCCCGATACGACTTTTTATGCTGCATAGCATCGTCTCTAAGTTTTAAGATTAATCGTGTCATAGTTAAACACTAAGGAAATTAATAGTACAATCCCACCCTTTGATGCGAACACACTAATTTAAGCTGTGTGAATAAATCATTTGCTGTACGTTAAAGTGTATATCCAAAGAACCCAAGCTCTCACGTTGTAATTATGAAGAAGAACTGCGATTTTGGCTCAGAAAAGAATAACAGTCATTTTGTTGCAATTCCAAAGCATCTATAAGCGTATTTGGTATTTGATTGTGCTTCCTGCAGAGTATTTCATACTGGTAAAAGGATACCCGACAAAACTAATTAAAAGGAAGAGTTGCCGAATCTTCGCACTTCAACACCCATTTCCTAGTGCTTATTCACCGTCACAGTCCGATTTAAAACTTTGGCTGACAATTAAAGCAGTGGCCCAACCGTATAAATATGGCAAGTTTGTTTCTGTGATATTTTATAAGAAGTATCGATTCGTAACAATACGGTGGGTTCATTTGAAAAAGACCAGAGTACTTATCGATTTCTCCGCCACTATTCTTTTAGGCAGGGAGTTGTCACGCTAGACAATGTCCCTGTTGACACCGTTTGGTGTCAATCTCATGTAACGGGCTACCCCGTTACGTGCGTCGTACTGGTCGATAAGGTAGTTTCACGCGCACTTATTGAACACATACGCACTTGCTCGTGCTGACCGCTTAAATGTTTCACGATCTCGAAGCAATGCCGTAGAAGTAAGTACCTTGCGTTAAGTCTACCTTCGTTCAACCAGAGATCAGTAAAAAAACAAATTCATGGGTGCCACAAACATCTAATGTGTTTCTTCAAGTACATATGAGGGACCGAGGACGGACCGTTAAATGTATCGAAACGGTCATCGCTTGCTCTTCAGTCTCTTGCACGACCGGACCTCACGTTGTTAAACTTTTCTGACCCCTGCTACCTCTGCTGCCATTGCTAACCCATTCCCAACTAATCGTACCATCTGACTCGACGTCGTCTGGATGTTGTCCGGGTGACTCTCTTCCTCTCAAGTCTCGACTTGAAACTGTACGCGCGTTGGTCGTAGATCAGAAAGTGACGAAAGGACGTGCAATCTCGAAGGAAGGACGTGAACAGAATGTTGATCCATTTGATATCCATTGAACCGAGGTGAAGGTTCGCGTGGCCCACCATTGTCGATGGAACAGAATCGACGTGAGAATATCATGTCTCGTTGATATAGAGAGAGGGGAATGCGTGCCAGTGGTGATGATACCAAGTTGAGGTAAAGTTTGTTTCATTAAATAATTCAGTCGTAGAATGTATTGATACTCAAGTTCAACGCGCTTTTTCAAACTTCCGTGACGATCATCCTCAAGTATAATGCACCCGTTCAGCCGTTCTGTTGTGGACAGTACTCGTGTATGAGGGGCGCTCGTCACGCTTTCCAGGATGAAGAGCACCGCATCAACTTTGAGCTGCCTTGTTGCAAGCTGTCACGCGAGTGGCAGTCAAATGTGTTGGGATCCAAAATACTCTTGAGTGACCTGCACATTTGTGCACGTTCATCCAAAAAATGGGAGGCCACGTACCCTGCCATCTTGGCAGCAACGGCTAACTATACTTCAGCCCAAAAACTTAGTATTTGTAGCGGGGCAATCTCTGCAAAACAGAACACCGTTGCATGGATGCGACATGGTCGTACGATTTTTATTCACTCGCTATCAAAACGTCAGAGCCGGGACTTGCAGCATAGACCAGATGAGGTATAAATAATGCGTGCCAAAACAAGATGTGAGGTCCATCTGGAGTTCGTCGTGATACCATTAGCCATTCTACCCAATGAAGTCATCGTTTGCTCTTACTATCAGGATATCAATTGCGACAAAACTTTACACGGACCCATTGTGTCATGGAAACCTATGTTGCGCGTCCATGCCTTCATGTTTGAATCTGACGAGCTGGGCACCACCAATTCTTAATGTATGTTGCTCATTTCTATCCGGATAGGTTTCACTATCACCGGTCAGGTAAGGGCACGGCTAGCTTACACAATCACAAAATCTTTTCTGTGGCACTCTCCACATCGCTCAACTTCACGTATTCATTGTATGTCCTATGAATCCCGCTCTGGATTTGTCTTGAGGTATCTGGTCGGACGAAAGCGATGCTTGTTTGCAACGTCGCCGAGCTTCGATGTCGTCTACGTCACCACTGGAGACCGTCAACGCCTGCCAACCTGGCTGCATTTCAAGCTGGTCCGTCGATTTTATTCCACGTCCAGCAATGTCTCATACACAACCTGGCCGTAGTCCGTGCCTGTCGCCATGGCACTAGCGAGAACTTTCACCACTCGGGACTCCTCCCCTCTATCTCAAATCTCAATTTGCCGGTCGTCGAGAACCCCAGGACGACTTCCAACGTTCCAGAACTCTCGCATTCATTTCCACTACTCAACAATGCGTCTTTACTACGTGCCACTCCTAGCAGCAGCTGCTCTACCTGCAGGTGCTCGTGGCCGTCAAGCTATTGTCGATGCTCCAAAAGCATGGCACCAGGCCGTGTCTCCCACACTGGAGAAAGGTGTCAAGGGAAGGCGTTTGCGCACCTACGACGAATCCGACGACGACTCCGACGACCGCTACTACGACCCTTACAACCACAACAAGGGCGATTATAGTGACCACAGCAGTGACACGGTCAACAACAATCACGACAATGTCATCAGAAACGCCTTCTATAACTGGGAAGAAGATAGGTCCATCTTTTCGGATTCCAAGGACACGAAAATAGGCGATGGCGAAGATGAAGGTGAAAGCGAAAGCTCAAGTGCATCCAGCTCCGACATATCGTCGATGATGCCGTCAAACGGTGCGCCGCTGGTGGTCCCTGCTAAACGACGCGATCGCTTGGACGACTCTGTCAAGCGGCTGACGAACTCCGTTGCTGACGAAAAGGTAGCAAACAACTAACCTGTCGAGCTTCTATGCGACTCTCAAGTTACTATGCTGGTCTATTGGTGTAGCGCTGCGCGATGTAGTTGAATCTTGTGTGATTTTCTTTTATTAAACAGTTGTTCAGCTTCCACCTTGCGCTTTTTCCTTGTATGCAGTACTACAAGCCCTTGAGATGGTCTCAATGACTCGCTCTGGAGAAGCTGAACAACTTATGAAGCGTCGAGCGGGCCCAGGTTGGATTCACTAATCACAGTCCAAATATGGCAATAGCCAGTTGCAATACAAGAAGTCCCCACCCTTCGCTCTCCTTACCCTTTCGCAACCAGAAAAAGTTAGCACTCGAGTCTAATTGTTACTTTGTCACTCACCTTCAATAAGCATTGACTGTGGCTGTTTAACGGAGCGATGGGGTAGACTAGTGGGCGCTAGACGTGGTCAGAGAGTCTTTAACACCGCTTCCATTCATTTCAAGCAGGCGTTGATAGAGCTCATTAATTCTTCCCTACAGCGTCGCCCGAGCTTGTCGAAGCGTCGAAAGGACTTCGAGGGGTCGGCTTAAGCGGTGCAAATCCACTCAATGAAATTTATTTTTTGCCCATTCTCGACATCATTAGTATTACTGGCGGCTGGCAAGGTATTTACGGGACTTTTTCGCTCAAAAGACAATTACTCGCGTCGTATATTTCGTTCTTAATGCCAGCTTAGTCAGCCTTTTGAGCCTATGTTTGATAGACTGGGCGTTGTTAGTGCACAAATTTCAGGATAGCAGCTCATCAGCTCTTTTCTCAAGTACGCAACCACGCCGATGTTCTTTTAATTTTATGGTTTCGACGGGAAACTGTACAAATTCGCTATGACACAACTGAAATAGTATCATATCGGCCGTCCTGCTGACGATGGTTGCCAAACGTGACTGACGCGTCTCGGAATGATGGAATTCTCAGCGCACATTGTGTATGTGTAGTAGGGTGTGCGTTAAACAACCTATCTCTCACAGTACGGGCAGTAAATAAACGCGGCTTGACGAATCCCGCCAATCACTAAACTGTAATTGTCAAGCTAGGTGACACTGCCAAAAACAGAGGGATTGGCTGCGTTCATGTCCTCTAGACGATGGATGAACAGATCTGGCGAATGAACAGGTCTGGCGAAGAAATCGGTTTTCAGTGAACACTATTTGCTAAACGCACAAATAGATTAAGCGCCACGATACCGTGTTTCGGGGAACGCAGACCACATCCTACTATAAGCAACATTCAATGTAAAAGACATCATCCGACAACTCACTGCATGCCCAACTCACTGCATGGCCTCTGTGAGGATGGAAATCCCCACTCCCCTCTCTGGGGCCCAAAAGGTCGCGCTTGATATGCTAACCGCATCTTCGGCCTCAGAAAACGTGGAGTTCCTTGTTTCACAAGGCCCTGAGGTGCTAAATGCACGTGTTGAAGGCTTCATGCAGCATTGAACGACCACTCTAGGACAGGTCCAAGACCGAGTAGCGTCGGCTATGCCTACACACTATATTTCTGTACTAGACGAAGAGGCTAGGCCTCGTCCACTTAGAGTGGAAGCTAAGAATTACTCTGGCAAGGAGGGTGAAAACCTTATCCTCTGGATCTGTGAGATTGAGATGCCCATGAGATTAGTCCTGATCAAGCTTAGCCATTAACAGGTCTCACTGTCTATCTCAAAGCTCGATGGAAGAGTAAGAAATGGGCCCTGACGTGTAGCGCGTCAGTTGAATGAGCATTCCCCACATGGGAGTCGCTAAAGTCACAATTGGTACAGGTGTTCTCACCACCTAACCAAGCTCACCGCGTGCGTGCACGCTTTTGTCTATCCTTCAGGAAAAAAATAAGTTATCGGACTATGTCCAGAGGTTAAGAACGCTCATGGCTGCAATGCAGTCTGACCCTCTTCCCGAGGCAGTTCGTGTGAATTTTTTACACGGAAGATTTTCGTATGGCATTGCCAGAACCGAAGTTTTTCGGGTTCACCTCTCTACGTTCGAAGAGGCCGTAAAAATTGCTCTTAATGCTGAGCATAACTTCAAGTCGGACAGGCTCGGATGGAATGGGTACAAGCCTGGATCTGCGAGGGCAAACTCCACGAGTGGTCCAACATTGAACAGGCCGGAACCGATGGATCTCAGTTATGCTGAAGATGAAAGTAAAGTAGAACTTCAAACTGCTGAGCAGCAACGCGTCGTACGACGATTTTTTTACTTGCGGAAGCACTAAACACTTGCGGCCTGATTGCCCCTTGCGTAGGCAGCGTCAGGCTTCAAGTCAACAATCCAAGCCCAGTAGGCGCGGGGCACCGAACTGGGGAAGAACTGGGTTCTGTTGCACATTTAGAAGGTATAATAAAACAGGGCTTATCCCCAAAGACCTCCGTCCCTATTGGTATGGAGCGTGGACACAAGTCTGGCTTGTTAGTCGCCGAGACGAAAATTTAGGGCTTTGAGAGGCCTTGGTCGATATCGATCGACTCTGAAGCGTCTTGCAGTTATGCTCGAGGTCGTTCCCTTAAGGGGAGTCAGCGCTATGCTGAGGCGATTACAGCGCATGAGAGTGATTCTATCACGGTTCATTTAGCGACTGGAAGTCGTGTTACTCTGCCTAAAGTACTATTGAGCTTAGGCGTACTGTTTTTAGACTTTGACAGCATCGAACGCTGTCTTGAACTTGACTTGGACTCGAGATATGATCTCATCCTTGGTATGGCTTGGCTTGAATGCCATTATCCATGGATTGAGTGGAGGTCGAAGTCCTTAGGCGCCACGCGCAACGTTCCTAGCAACGTTTTGGAGAGTCGTGGACCCACCTTCGCAAGGCAACAGACGCACCACTGGCACGAGCCGATGGCAGAAGATGTCAATGTGCTGGAAATCAAAATATCTAATTTGTTTAACTTTAATGTTAAGAACTTGTATTCCAAGCGTAGCCCGTTAAGTATAGGTGATACGGCGCGTAATTCGTTGAGTGTTATTCGTTGTGATGACGAGTCGTTGCATGCTGAAAGCATGTTTGGACGAGGGCCGGATTTTCAAGGATGTCTTTCCTTTTATGTGTGTGAGGTGGCTCGTGAAAATTCACCGAGTGTGGTTGGCCGTGAAGTTACCACACTCAAAATAGGTAGTGAAATTGTTCCCGGAACGCCGTTCAGTTCAGGGCTAGGCCCGCGTAGTGTACGTGGAGTGGCACGTGGAAACTCACTGGATGAAGAGTTAAAATTATGCAACACTTCACCGGATGCAGGGTAAGTCATCGGCTCTCGTATAGATCGTACTATTGTTAGTAGTAATGAAGGGGATGGTATTGTCCCGACCCCTAACGGGTGTAAGGTCTACAAGGTACGACTTGGACGCCAGGTGAAAACTTTAAAGATCCAGGCGTCCGCACAGTCACTGAGTGATAATCGTTATACTATATATGCGCTCGTTAACGAAGTGACTGGTCAGATTGATGGCAATAATTGCCTTGAAACCCTTCCATCTTTTGATGCTCTGTGTGGGCTAGGCGAAATGTCTGATGGCGAGTTTAGCCAGGCCTTTCGGGCAGGAGACTTATCCGAATTAGTGGTCATTATACCCGATGCTGAGTTGAAATCGTCCTCATTAATGGGTGAGTCTGTCCTAGAGGACGCTAAGGCGGCACTCAGTGCGCGAAGCAGATCTTCAATCCTTTTAGATCCTTTGTATCCATTTTATCCTTTGATTAAGGAATTTTAAGATGTGGTGTATCACCATCGACCATCTATATTACCACCTGATAGAGGTGTACGTCATGACATTGACTTAGTTCCAGGAGCTAAAAACTGTGTAATACGGCAGTGTCCATTGCCTAAAGAACAGTGTGACGTCATTAAAGAGTTTTTTTGTGCTAAGCACGCTGCTGGGATGGTTCGTGAGAGTAAATCTCCCCATTTAACACCGACAAGTTGTGTCAAGAAGCCAAATGGCAAGTGGCGCATTGTGCATGCTTGTAATAAGCTTAATGCAGCTACTATACCGGCGCAGACGCCTATTTCTAGAGATGATGTTCATCAGAACAATATGGCAGGATGTACATTGTACAGTGCACTTGACTTAGTCGATAATTATTACCAGCTGCTCTTGCAAGCGAGTGATATTCCGCTAACAGCGGTGAGTACTCCGAGCGGTATGCTCTGGGAGTGGCTCGTTAAGCTACAAGAGATGCCGAACGCCCCGGCTACTTTTAACCGTCTGGTGACGCAACTGTTCAGACCTCATCGAAGTTACGCACAAACGTACTTTGACGACATCTTTGTCCATATTCGTGCACCGGATGGTCGATCAGATGTGGACAACCACATTGGTCATTAAAAAGCGGAGCTCGAGTGCATGCGCACGAATTAATTGTACGCTAACGCATATAAGTGTATCTTTGGTGCAGAAGAGGATCCCTTTCTAGGGAGCTTCGTTGGAAGCGAAGCTTTCGAGCGGACCCCGCTAAGGTAAGGGCCATAGTCGATTGGCCAGTTCCCAAGAACTACAAGGACTTACGTAAGTGGCTCAATTTGGCCAATTACTTGCATAAGTATAGTGCAAATTATGCAGACATGGCAAGGCCATTATCGTTCTCCTTTAAAAAAGATGTGAATTGATGTTGGGGTAATACCGAGAACGATGCTTTTAGAGAGGTTAAGGATAGTCTTATTCATGCGGGGCAATAATGGCTTTGCCCGATCCTGATCGGCCCTTCCGTGTCGTCTGTGATGCATCTGACTTTGCCGTTGGCAGTGCTCTGTCACAAACAGATGTTGATGGACGCGAGCGCATCATTGCGCTCGAGTCTGGACAGGTTAAAGTTGCTGAAAAGAAGTATCTAATTCATGACAAAGAACTACTTGCTATGAAGTGTGCTCTGGTCAAATTCAGAGTACATCTGCTTGGCCCAAAGCCATTTTTGTTGTCTATATAGATTATGTGTCATTGCGCACTGCGACACAGTCGCCGCATCTCTCTTAGATAATGGCTCGTCCGCTTT